AAATGAAGGGCTGTGCTTGCACCTGACAGAAGGCACTTGACAGAAAATCAGCATTGTCTTGAGCTTGAATCCAGTTGGTTCGGCTCTCAAAACATTCCAGGGGCCCCACATCAATCACGGTCTATATCAAAGTGGGTTAAAAAGGATAACAGTGTATTTTAAAAGAGTGTACATAAATCCAAAAGGCAGGAGAACACAAGCCCGACATAACATTCCCTGGAAGTGATGAAAGACTGAGAACAAGATAGAAGAATCTAATAGAACCTGTGAATGAGAATATGTCGACGAGATTGCAATCCAAGATCTAGGATAAACTTATGAAGACCATAATTCACAAACAGGGGGCATACCTTCCAACACATGCTTTGCTTCCTCAGGGCCTGTAGTCCTCGTTGCACGCCAAGGTCTGCCATCTGAACTTCCTAATGAACACGCACCCGGGATCCTCCAGGAGAGCTTGAAATTCTGTTTTGGTAGAAAGGCGGGAACAAGCAGATGGACTTGGGTGAAGACTAATGAAAAGAGTGTATACTACAGTAGAGTGAGAAATGAATATGACATATAAGTGAATGTCTCACCTTCAGTCTTGCTAGTAGAGCAATGGACTGAAGCATTAGTAACTCTGAGCTGTATGTACTTGCCTCACTTGTGACTGCCACATAACCTTTGTAATTAGAGGTGGATGTTGGTTGCCTGGGTGCCTCTAAGTACAGGTAGATACAGGGATATAGCACTTGGATGGATAGTGATTGCTGGGTATTTAGCATGGGCACTTATCAAAAATCAACAGCAGTCGGCACTGATTAGTCACAAGGTACCTCAGCAATATCCCGGCAGGCTATTAATATCATTCCTGTCAGCAATGTGACGTTCCTGGCCCTGACAATGTTTGGCAAGTCCCATAAACCTTCATCTTCACTGTCTGTCACAGCAAGCTCACATATAAGGTGCTCCCTTGACCGTTTTGCACCAGATTTTTTTGCAGATCAACATACGGCGTTATATAAACTATTATATAGGCATAAAACATGTATAATACACCTGCAGTCATTAAACACTCATTGCACCACAACACCCCATTGAATCACTTTGTCCATTACTACACAACAACACAAAAAGATGATTACATCTGGCCTGGGCCTTGTAAAGTATTCATTTACCTTCCCTGCCATCAAATTTTAAGTAGGGCTGCATATTGAGTATTCATCATCATTGTCATCAGTGTCATTGAATGCATAACACTTTCCTTTTCTGTTCTCTATTTATCACATGTAACAACATATATAATATGCACTGTCTCATTCCTTCATACCTCAGTCATTGTCTCCAAACACTGAGGTATGGTTCATTGTCTCTCATTGTCCTGCCATGTCTTACTATATCCTCCTAGCATGTTTCATATCCTAGGTATTAATACTATTGAGTCATTGTCTCCAAACACTGAGCATGTTTGTGTCCTAGCTTCTAACAGGTTATGAGCTGTGATTTCTGACAGAAATCATATCAAGCTACATACCGACATGTGCCATTCTCACAGTGACTCGCTGTAACCCTCCTCTATTGAAGAGACTCCCCCCCAACTTCCTTGACATGAGGAAGCTCAATCACATTCCAGAATTGACAGTCCAGATACACACTTTGCATGGAAACATGAGGTGATCTATGCCCTCGGTATTGAGGACCAGTGGTGCCATGTCATGGATACTGTGGATCCTGATGATGTTTTGGGCAATGCATCTTTCAAGCCTACAGTGGCGAACCCTTTGCCACCTACAGTTGACGAGATGAAGGCCATTTGTGAATGGCTCATAAATGACCTTAAGGCCAAGTCTATCATCACCATTGCCTTTCTACCTCTGTCCAACAGCTTATTTCAACCAGTCATAAGGTGGCTGCTTGTGATGCCTAGAAGATCCTAGAGGACCATTTTGACTGGGTGGACATGGGGTCACAACATGTTGTCTGTCAAAGCATATATGTGCTGTGGATGAAGGATGCCACTGATGCCTCAAACTATGTGGGGCAACACTCTGTACTTCATGAATGGATGCTTTGCATGAGGGTGGTTTACACTGATGCTGAAGCAGTGTTTCAACTTCTATGTGGTTTACCTCATACTGGGATGCAGCCCCAGTTCAAGGCTCTCCTAATGTTGACTCTCCCCATTGCCACTCAAGCTGTCACCACTACCACCACTACTACTGTATCTGCATCCTCCCTGCCCTCAGCTTCCACATTTGACACCTGTGTTGCTCACATCTCTGCAGAAGCTGCTCACATCCTCAATGAGCATGTCCTTGCTAGAGGAGCTCCAGGATCTGAATATGCCCATGCAGCAACCACCACCTCTTCATCCACTGGGAACATTAACTCCATCACCAGCCTACAAAAACATTATCACAATCCTGAGGGTATCTTTTGCACCACAGTTGGCTGCAACAAGGGAGACCACAACCACACACATTGTTATCAGAAGGGTAGTGTTACGAACTAGGGTAGTTCTAACAACAGATGACTCGATAAGAGTCAGGGACTTCTGTTGAGATTCTATGCAAGACAATAAGTCAAGCATTCAGTGTAAGCTAAGTTGAAGGGAGTGCCTTTGACTTAAAGTACAATTCAGATGACAAGAGATTGGAGGTCTCAAGCAAAGGATATTCAGGGTAAAACCTAGTAAGATTAAAGTGGAGAACTAAAGCATACAGGAGGCCTATTTATAGTAAGCTACTGTGCTTTAGGGCAGGTGTGAGAACAGAAGGAGTCAGAGATAAGAAGTGCGTAAGTGATAGTAAGAATAGATCATCTAGCAATGGCAGTTGTGGTTGTGATGTAATACAAGACATGAGTCAGAGATAAGTGTCTAGTGGTGGCATCATGCAGCTCATGACATAATACATGGTAATAGAGGAGAAATGAATAGGGGTGTACATGGTTGTAACATTACCCCTCGTTTAGAGACAAAGTCACCAACTTTAGTTATCCTGATTGGCCCAATAGACAGGGTCAGCGTCATAGTTAGAGTCCAGCAAGTTGTTTTGCTCCTCTGTAATGGTATATGATGACTTATCAGCCATCTCAGTGGCATGGTAAATGGCATCCTGCTTGATCTCCCAACGAGCGAGGGCTTCGTAGAAACCAGTGTCAGTCCAAACCAATGGGATGACTGCTTCTCCTTTCAAGTCTTTACAAAAGACTGATAGATGTCCAGGTGCATACTCTTTGCAAACCTGGCAATAGTATGCTGGACAGTTCTTGTGACGCTGCCCGGCGACATGACAGTTGTGACATACAACATTGTCAATGGTTGCTGTCTTTATGGTGGTGACAGTGGATGACTGTGCAGGTGGAGATGGGGATCTAGATTGTTGCTTATGGTTTCTGTGTGGGGAAGCTGACACAGTTTGCTTGGTGATGTGGGTGGATCTATGCCGGATGGGGTACTAACGTGTAGTGGGTGCGATGGGGGTAGGAGACAGAGAAGCTGGTATGTCAAGTACAGCAATAGGAGGGATATTATCATCTGAATGCTCAGTGGTAGCTGTCGGAAGAACTGGCAGTGGGACTGGAATGGCAATATGTGGGGATGGAGGTCGTGTGACTGGGTTTGTAGCGATCCGTTCAGTGATGATGTGGATAGCCTCTCTGATAGCTTCCTTAGTATCATCAGGCAGCAGATGGATTGCAGTATTACAAATATGTATATGAAGGTGGTGGAAGATGGTCTTGTGACGGTCATTGTTGAGAAGGTTAGTGGTGCGCTTGATAAGGCTAGCATCTCTGATGATTTGGATAATAAGTCTGCTAGAAATTGCCCCTCTTTCTCCTAGGAGACAATCTATCTCAATAGCATATTGTTGGGATGTGATGGCAGATTTGAACAAGGCACTGGTCTCGATTTGATCAATGATTGTGAAGTAATCAGTGAGGGTGGAGTCACTGGTAGGGTAGAGTCGGTTAACAGTGGGGAAGTGACTGGGGAAGGCATGTTTTCAATGGCAGCAAGGTTAGTGATGGTGGCAGTCTGGTAGTCGATAAGGGATAATGGGTGAACGATGTTCTCAGATACAGTGTTCATAGCAGCAGTGAGTTCTTCAATGCATTGGATGCAGAGGTGTAAGCGTTCAAGAGACATTGTTTTTAAGATTACAATCAATGGGTCTTTTTATATGCAGAGAGGACATTAGTGGCATTGCTGAGGTTCTCTTCTGGAATCCATTCGTTACTGGTGGAGGAGTATCCTTTCCAGGATACTAGATAGTGTCTTCGTTTACCTGTTCCTTTGTGCAATAAGATTGCATCAATCTCGTATTCTTCTTCATTATCAATGATATCTGGGGGAGGATTGTGGAAGTTCGGGCCATGAATTTCTGTCTCATGATAGGATGATAATTCAGAAGCATGGAACGTAGGGTGAACTCTCCATTGCGGTGGTAGTTGGAGTGTGAACGTGATGGGTGATAGCACAGCAATGATAGGAAAAGGGCCATATCGCTTTGGTGCAAGCTTTCATGATGGTAATTGTGTAATCAAGTTCTTTCCTGATAACCAAACCTTATCTCCTATTTTCCATGGTTGGTACTTCTGTCCATGTGTTCATTCTACCATTTGTTGCATAGCAAGGTTGTGACAAGAGAGTGCTTCTTCTCTTGATTTCTGAGGTAGGCACAATTGATCTTCTGCAGCAGGTACAGTGGAATCCAGGAGAGCGTGTGGGAGAGCTCTGGGTTCATATCCCATCATAAGGAAGAATGGGGATGCATTTTGAGAGTTGTGTTTTTGATGATTATGGATGAACTCAGCCATAGGGAGGTGCTCTACCCAATCTTCTGGGTGATTGCAGCAATAAATGCAGAGATAAGTCTCGAGTTCCTGGTTGAGATGTTCAGTCTGTCCATCAGTCTGAGGGTGATAAGCGGTGGATGTGGCGATATCATATTTTAAGAGCTTAGCGAGAGCTTTTGAGAACTTTGATACAAACTGCAGTCCTCGATCAGATATGACTTTCTCATGGAGACCAAAGTGGCAATAGATGTATTTGAAAAACTTTGAGGTGACTCCTTCAGAAGTGATGGTTTTCGTGCAAGGGATCAGAATTACCCCCTTCATAAGGCCATGGTCGACCATGACCATGACAGAGTCAAAACCTGCGCACATGGGAAGATCGGTGATTAGATCAACAGAGACCTGGGCAAAGGGAGCAGAGGTGATGGAGGGGATAGGGATGAGTGGGGGAGTTACAGGGTGTGTATTGGATTTCATTTGCTGGCAAAGAGCGCAACTGTCAACGTATTTCTGGATATAGGAGCCCATAGAAGGCCACCAAAAGTCATGTTTGACAAGCTCTTCCATTTTAAAACAGCCAGGATGACCAGTGGAAGCATGGTCATGACAACATTCAAGAATAAGGCGTCTCCCAGCAGGTCAGACATAGGCATGATCTTTGTAATACAGGATGTCCTCTTTAATTGTCCAATCAGCAAGTGCAGATTTCATGCGGGGAAGTGATAGGCCATCAAGGGCATCTGCAGTGGCTTGGAAGATTGGGTCAGGATCAGTGGGGTCTGGGTTTGTGAGTGTGGTCATAAGTTCCACATCAAGAAGCCATACAAACATAGAGTCAGGGAGGAGAGTAACATCATCATTGTCACCATGTCTGGTTCCATGATCAGGACGTCGCAAGAGGGTGTTGGGGGCAGCAAGTTTAGTTCCAGCAATGTGATGGAGTTCGATGTCATAACAGGATAGGAGGAGTTGCCAACATGCTTGGCGACGAGTCAATTTCTGTGCAGTACAGAAGTAAAGCAAATTTTTATGATCCATAAAGATAATGACTGGATGAGGATTTCCTTCAAGGTAATGGTGCCATTCAGTGAGGGCACGAATAACAGCAAGAAGTTCATGATCGAAGATCTGATAATTCCTTTCGGCTGGGTTCAGGGTTTGAGAGAGATATCCACATGGATGATAGACTCCATTTTCATCAGTCTGTAGTAAAACTGCTCCAGTAGTGATGAGCAAGGTGTCAGTGGCGACAGCAAACTGCTTGGTAGAATTGGGGTTCCGCAAGACAGGTTGCTTCAGGAAGCATTCCTTGAGCATGGTAAATGCAGAGGCACATGGATCTGACCAATAGAATACCATGTCTTTCTTGGTGAGGTTGATCAAGGGTCTAGCGATATCAGAATAATGAGGGACGAAATTGCGATAGAAATTGCAAAATCTGAGGAACAACCGAACTTCCTTCACTGTGGTAGGGACAGGCCAATCATGAATACCATCGGTTTTTGCGACATCCATTGCAATGCATCCAGGACGGATGATCATACCTAAGTATTCAACTTCTTCAGCGTCAAAGGTGCACTTTTCTGGTTTCAAGAATAGTCATTCTTTGCGGATTCGTTCTAAGACATGACGAGTTTGAGCATGGTAGGAAGGGAGGTCGTTTGAAAAGATAAGGATATCATCCATGTAAATAACCAGCCATCCTTCATTGATTTCCTGCTGGAAGGTTCAATTCATATACACCTGAAAGGTAGTGGGTGAGTTGCAAAGACTGAAGAACATGACATTAGGTTTGAAGAGACCATACTCAGTGGTAAATGCTGCTTTCCAATGATCATCAGGGTGGATCCGGAACAAATGTCCATCTTTGTGAAATACTTGGCACCATGTAATCAAGCTACCAAGGTCAATGGGAGTGGGAGAGGATGTGTTCTTCACCGTCCAATCATTGATATACCGGTAGTCCTGACAAGGGCATAGGTCACCGCTTTTCTTTCTGACAAAGAAGAATCCACTGGCTTGTGGTGATTTTGATTCAGAGATGAATCCTTTCTGTACGTTTTCATTGATGAATGCTTTGACGGTGGTTCATTCTGCTTCCGACAATGGGTAGACCTTGGATGTTTTTGGGACAAAACCAGGTTTGGTATCAATTTGATGGTCAATCCCAGGACATTCTGGGGGTAGCTGATTTAGTCCATTTTTAGCAAAGATGTCGGCAAAGTCGTGAAGGTAAGATGGGACGAGTTCTTCAAACGATTTCTTCTTCTGTTCAAGCCCAGCTGCTAATGCAAACTGTTGAGCTTTGTTACTGGTTTTGACATATTCGGTGGGCCATGACAA